GAGTGTCTCAGGTAGGACAGGGTGTCTCAGGTAGGACAGGGTGTCTCAGGTAGGACAGGGTGTCTCAGGTAGGACAGGGTGTCTCAGGTAGAACAGAGGGTCTCAGGTAAGAGATGAAGGCGATGGTCAGGTGTGAAGGAAATATAAAATGTTATTTTGAGTACATTCTAGTCAGCTGTGTGAACTTAATGTAATAAATTACTGATATAAAGACATAATCTAGCATGCTTAACAGTTTATTTTATTTTGACCAGTATAAAAGTAATAGGCTTATTTAAATTTAACTTGTATTTGTAGGAAGTGGTAGAAATTAGTTTTCATAATTGGGATTTTCCCAGTTAAATAAAGCTCAGTAAATACATCTGTCAATCCATCCATCATTAGCTTTCTAATCAGTTCCAAACATCCACATATTGATCTTATAAATAAATGTAAAAACCTCCTCTAAGCTTGTTTGGGATAATCTGTCACATTAATTTAATTATCTGAGTCATAACTGAATTTAAAAACTGGATGATGCAACTAGTTTAATGAAGAATCTGTCTCCAGTCATTAAATCAGGTGTTTATTTATGTAGGTAAAAGTATCTTTAACAACCTGTTAAAATACATTAGAAATCAGGAAGTACCTTCTAATTTATTCAAAATTTTCTGGGGGAGGACCCCCAGACCCCCCTCCAGTGTGTCCTTTACACACACATTATATGACAAATGTGAGAGAATAAACCAACACACCTGTGCTCCACCTGTGTGTCTGCTGTATGAAACTATGACTGATTGTCAAACTGTATTCTTAGTGAGTTTAAAGGGCTGATACAGTACACGGTTGAATGAAGGTGAACATAATCTCAGTTAATATGGTTTGAGTTTTACTGCATCACAACAGAAACATTTGGTGCTCAGTTGTTGATGGGTGCGGACATTTAAACTGCACACACTGAAGACATAAACAACAGAAAAATCTGGTCGCACAACTGTGGGTGCGTCAGACCCCGTCCCCCCACAGTGCGTCCCCACCGACTTTCAGCACAAAGTTTCGCCCTTGGGTTGAAGACTTTTTTTCTAGTGTTTCCCTGGTAGCGAAGGGGAGAACTGCGAGCCTGGCTGAGTTCAGTTTGTTTTGTTTGGACCAGGTGATGAGTTGGAGTACCTCCGGCCCAACGTGTACCGCAACGTAGCTCGACAGCTGAACATCACCGTGACCTCAGAAAGCGTGGTGTCGGACGCCTTCCTGGCCGTCGCCGCTGACATTTTCTCCACAGGTATGGAATGTTTTCTTCCTTTGACCATAACATGCAAGCTGGGAACTATTTTCTTTGTCCATATCTTCCCACGTTAAACATTTTCCTGACAGTCTGAACATGATAAATACAGTTTTTTTGTTTGTTTTTTCTTATCTAACCCAGGTTTTTTTCAGTATGTGGTACTAAATCAAACACAAATCTGACCTCCGTCTAAACGCATCATGTCGCATTTTCTTCTGAGTTTTGTCATTGAAGTGGAGGTGAGCAGATCCATCCAAGTATTTAGAGTATTGATACCAGCCTTGTGTAGTTTAAATCTTGTAGCTTTACATGTCTTCAGCTACAGAGCAGAGTCCAGTTGCTTTGTCTTTGTTCTTTTAATTTTCCGTGTCCTGGATGACCGAGAATCAACAGAAGTATGTGATGGTAAGGTTGTCAGACCGTATCGACACTAAAGTTACTGCATCAATACTTTTAGTTGGTTTCATTTTCAACATGTTGCTTTGTTCCAAAGATACACACTGCAGGAGCTGGTTCACATACATGTATAAACTCTATGAAACAAGCAGAGCAGATAGTTGAATTGACTCTGATTGCACAACACATGCTAACGTGTAGCAACCATATTTACTTCAATGAGGTGTATGGACCAGAGGCATGCTTCAGAACATTGACTGCCACGGTACCAGCTCGACTTTATGTTGGAAGGGGTGTGCTGTCAATGTAAACAACTCATCATGGCTAAATTTCTGTGTAGAATTTCATATGAATATTAATTTTTCATTGGTGAGCTCCTTCTTGTTAGAAACATCATTCATTACAGACAATGGCAGCCAAATCCCATTTTTGATTTTTGCCCCATGCGACCCATATCAGATATTTTTATGACAGTCTGAACGCAACAAATCCTATTCATTCATTCATTCATTCATTCAAATCTGACCCAGGCCGTTTCAGTATGTGGTTTTAAATCAGATACATATCTGATGTTTTCAAAGTGACCGCTTCATGTCACATTCCATCCGACTTTTTTGAAGTCTCGCTGTTTAAATCTGTAGCTCCGTGTGTTTACAGCTCCAAAACACAAGTCCATTTGCTTCATCTTTTTACGTTTCATTTTCCATGTACGATAATAACGACCTCCAGCCTTGGTCATGGAGTGTATCGATCCTAAAGTTACCCGGACGATACTTTATTTCCAGTTTGTTGCTTCGTTCGAAAAATAAAATGTTTCACCGGAGCATCCCAGTTAGAGGCAGGTTCAGATATAAACACTGAACTATAGGACTGGGCATCATGGCCAATTCTCTAAATCGATTTGATTTCGATTCATGAAGTTCAGAATCGATTAATCACGATTCAGTTCGATTCAATGAGAATGTTTATTGATATTGATACACCATTTTTTCTCTTCAACATAAACAACAGGTTTTAAAATTTAACTTTTAAATTAAACTGTTTAATCTTGAAAGAA